GGAGAACTACTAACCGGGTAAATTATATTGTGTTCCTCTCGCGTCGCTCTGCGGCGACGGTTGTGTGTACGATAATTGATTTTGTGCGGCGCGTACGTTAAAATAAATCTTATAATATTATGCATAATAGCGGTACCCCGTCCCGGGCGCGCGTGTTAAGTCATGATAAAATCTGATACGGGTGTAAAACGGGCAGTTTAAATCATACGCGTACATTTTTCCGCTGCGACCGCGAAACGGGTTGTGTGCACTGCGCAGGACTCGGTATTTTTTTTCTCCGATGATACGCCGCTCGGTGCGAGAACATCATTGTAATCATATTCGTGCCACAGATGCATACAAAAACCGGACGGCCGAGTAGCATAGCAATCGGAAGACGATCACCGTACGCGCGGTAGCCAATGTTTACGTTGATTACTGTTATCATTTCTTGTCGTTATAAAACATAACATCGATTAAACATTTAAACGCGTAAACGATTTACCGTTTTTCATAAAATATACATACAGTGGAACCTCGATAAGTCGACTTATCGAGGTTTCGACTTATTAAGGTTTTCGAGTTACCAAGGTTTTAGAAAAAAAATTCGACTTAAAATGTATGTATGTATTAAAGTTTTTAAGTAACAACTGGAAATCAGTACCTGCGCTAGGTATTGCGGGGCCATTGGACATTAGCCTTTAGGATATAAAATGTCAATGTGTCTCACGGTACAAATATCGATACAAATGAAAAATACTGTTGTGTGCCGAGGTTAGAAAATGCATACGATAATAAACACAATTACATAAAATTACCGCACACGCGTAATCGATCGATCGCAACTGGCAATACCGTTACAAATGAAAAATATTGTTGTGTCCCGAGATTTATTAATACTTACGATAATAAACACAATAAACGCGATTAGAAAAAATCATCGGAACGTTTAGACAAATGTTTATAAAGCTATCCGTTATTATCCGTCTATATTCGGAGCACAATATGTTCGAGTTATCTATAGTTTTTTTTTTCGAGTAATCGAGGTTTTCGACTTATCGAGGTTCCACTGTATATTATATAACATGTATGAACCAATGAGTAGAGATTAAACAAGTATAAACATATGTGAACAATAAGTACTCGACATCATACTCGTATTTACGCACAGCAATGTTTAGCGTTTTCCTACAATACATATGGTAGGGACGTGTAATTCATAAGTGAGTCGACTCTTTTTTAATGGATTGAATGAATTGAATCAGTGTCTCGGTAATTCAATACAGCATTATCAAGTACCAACGTTGTGAGCGAATCATGAGTGAGTCGACTTGTAAGGACACATGTGTTTTTTCCACGTCCTGGGACAACTGAACCAATCCTGTAAACGAGTTGAATCAGCCGAGTTACTACTTCTAAATATGAAATTATCATCTTATCGGTAATTTCAGTGTTACACTATTGTTTCTTGAAACAAGTCCGGCCATCAATATTATAAACACGATCACAGTTTAAGATTTTTAACACATTCACCTCCGCACGTAAATTCATAATCTGACGCCTCTCGCTCGACGCACTTCTGATAACAGTACACACGTGATTTGTTACACGACTATTCTTCATAAAAACTTTATTTAGGTGGGTCGTATGATAACTTATCAGCTGAGAATCGTGTTATTATTTTACAATTAAATAAATTTGATTGATTTAATAGATTGGATTCAATAAGATTTATGACTCGGTTAAGATATGATTTGACTTATCTATCGAGAATTGGGAGTTGACTTGATGAATTGACTCATTAAAGTGAATTTAATTGAGTCGATTGATTCATCAAAGTGAGCCATAATTCCTAAAACATACGTATTTATAGTTAATTTTTCGTAAAAATTTAATATTTTATTTTAAAAGTCCTTAAAATCTAATCTTTATTAACTCAATGCAATGGATAGTGCGGCATTTGATGCATTAGTTTTTGAACATCGGGCTCAATACTAGAAAGGTTCAATCGCAGTTCAGATCCTACGTTTACTATCAAGGTTTCGTAAGTTATTCTTAACGCAAACAAGGTTGAATCAATGAGGCTTTTTCACGAGAATAAGTAGTAGGAAACGGAATTAAAACTTTCAGAGCTTTACTGGCCAATTCCGGACAATATTCCCGGACTCCAAAAGTGTTCTAACGACTTTCGGTCGAATTGTATTTTTAAACTACCATCTGTATTAAAAGAAATAAACATTTATTGAATATCGAAATCAACATGTACCCGCGGATAGAGCCTACTCGTCGGCTTTGAGTCTAGCCTTCGCTGCAGCCGTTCAACGTACTGCGAACAACGTGCCGTACTTATTGTATCACACGCGCTGCGCCACATAGGCGATACACGGCGAAATAAACATTACCAGTGGCGTAGGTAAAAGAGGTTTTGCGGTTTCAAACCCTCCCCTTTGCCAAGATCCCAGCAAGTAAATAAATAGATAATAATAACAATTATTATTACCTAAATATATCCAACCCCCTCCATAAATTATTTTATCAACGCCCTTGAATATTACGCATGAGAGATACCTGTGCACCATATGTACACACGTCCTGTGCGCTTGGGCGTGTGAAAAGTCACCCGGTTCGCGATTCGATCGAATATATATACATATATATATAATCGAATGCGTACTTAAACTGCGGTGTACGTTATGTACGACGCATTCGTGAACGAGACGGGCCCAGTTTTTCGCACGGTTCCGCCGTTAAAAAATTTATAAGTTTATGTGACAACACAACACCGAGTCCGATGTGTTCTTATATTTCAGACGAAACAATCCTAATCGGGAAAATTATAATAAGGTTAGGACTTATTTTATTATAATATGACTTATTTTTCTTTTCTTTTTTTTTAACTTTTATTTTAAGGCGTACAACCTGTAAGTTATCTTACAATAAGTATGCACGCGGAAATATATAAAATAGATGACTTTTTTAATAAATACATTTTTTTTTTTAATAAATAAATTTACTATATATATATATATATATATATATATATATATATATATACTCATCAAACGACTCGTCAATTTTTGATAGGGTCCAAATGTCGTTTAAATAAACTGATTGTTCGAATTGTACCTATGTACGCCTATTGTACGTTTGTAATTTATCGATTAACATGTAAACGATAAAAAACTATAAATTGTTGATGTTAATAACGTTGAATTAATTTATGAAGTAAGCTAATTCAATTAAATATCCTTTACTAGCATAAAACTATTAACACATTTATATTACATGCTCGTTGAATAGGTGTACATTACTTTAACTGCCAACTGCGAACAGGTTTTTACATAAATGTATAGGTATGAACATTATGCTTTGATGTTATTATATCTAGAGGGTCAAGCTTATACATTTGTCAGATTCAGATCGTCTACGATTGTTAAAATAATATCATCAAATATACGAAAATTAAGGATAAATATTTGCTGTGGGTACATTTATGGTACAAGAATTAAATATTATTTCGAGATTGTTGAACGCTGAAAAGTGTTATTCGACGGTTATAATCAATCAACAAACGATAAATATGAGTTATACTACGTTTACTTCTGTTTAATCGGCCGCGCAATAACAGTCAAATAAAACGTTTAAATATTATTGTACATTAATATAAATGTGCATGAATGTATTTTAATTGATAAATATTTTTATACTTATAATTAATTCAATAGGTATTAATTAATAATAACATGCACTTATTTATTATTTAATATTATTTTTTTAAATAACTAATGATCAATAATTATAATCTATGTCTATTTACATCACGAAAGTAGTACATACATATTGGATATGGTAAAAACAACATTTCAGTTATTATTCAGTTAGATAAGAGTATTTCATTATTTTATTTATATCATATTTATAAAACGAACGGTTTTTACAATCACACATATTTATCATATGAAATTTATGATTACTTAAGTTCCATTTAATACATAATTATAAATATTAAGTACCTAATGTATATTATAAATTATCTGGTATCATGTTTAACGTTCCATTCAAACTATTTTAAAGTGGACTTATCCGATTTTTATTTTAGTTTTCTCCACAGCTATGACTTAAGAAATATAACCTTTTGATAAACTGATATTGTACTACTATACCGAGTCCAATATTTTATTAAATTAAATGTTCTATGAACATTTTACATTCTTATTAACTGAAAAAATGTTGACAAACAAAAATTCGATGTTTGATGATTTGTTTTTTTAAACTAATCGTTGACACACTTATTATGAATTTATTATTATTTTAATTTTGTATTTGTTTAAAATTGATTTAGGTATGTACTGTTCATATAATTTATCATAAATTATCATATCACTATATCATTTATGAATAGGATCTTATGTATGTTGTTTGTTTTCTAACATGTAAATGTAAATAATGGAGTTCAATGTAAACTTCATTTTTCTTCAATTTACAAAATAATATTAGAACTATACATATTATACATTTGTATTTAAGTGTTCAACTATAATAGTTACAAGTAGGGCTCGAATGTTTGTGTACTAAAATATTACCAAATATGCATTCAAAATATGTATAGAAAAACAAAATTTTAGCTAAATAAAACACCGAAATGTGTAGACTAAAATTTATTTTAACTACATTGTTAAAGTTAATTAAAAATTAATTAATTAAATTAATTACAAATACCTATTTAATTTTACCAGTTATTTTTTTTGTGTTTTATATTTTTTTAGTATTTCATATACTAATTCGCAATATTAGCGTCACATTGTGATATAATAGTTTTTTTTAATTTGATCAAACTCGAATTTAAAAATGTTTTTTTGGGACCATCACAATTATACGTGTAGATAAATAATAAATAATCAACCCGTCAATTAAAATTGTTTTTAAAAAAGTTCAAACATGTACTAAATTATACATTTAAAATATAAAACCATAAATTATACAAAAATATGCAGAATAAATTTTTTTTTTATTTGTTTCAGAAGAATACGAATCAAATTTCTATACTTCAGGTTCTCATTAAATTGGATGAATGGAAAAAATATGCAATTTAATAAACATCCGAGCGTCAGTCATAAATACTGAAGATCTATATTTTATGTATATTATATAAGTAGTTGATATATTTACCTAATATTTACTAAAATATCAATGAAAGTAAAAAATTAATGTTGATTTGTCATTTTGTCATTATAAAAAGTATTTAAGTTCAAATAAGTGGGATATTTAATTTTCAATACCATCAGAAAACAAAATAAAGAACGCTAAAACCGATGATATAATAATGCATTTTGAAAATCGTTGTAATGTTTACAATTTGTCGTTGGAAAATATTTTTCTGACATTTTAAATTTCAATTGCTCCTGAGTGGTAATTAATATATAAAATATAAACTACTGGATCCGTATCACAGCTGATCTATTTGATTGACGTAATTGTACCATAAAAATTTCGAACTTGCTGTTTTTGTTAAGCCGAAAAACAAAAGAAATTCTAAACCAAAGAACCACAAACCGGTTAGTTATATAATTTTCAGTAATTATCAGTGGTGTGTGGGCGTGTGTATTGCTATTTATTTTTTGTACCCTTCCCGATAAATGGAAAAATAATCAGATTTTATAAGTATGTACGGTCGCGTAAGAAATCATTATGGCTATAATGTTATTTATAAGTACACACCCCGAGAACCTTAAAAGTATTTAAAACGGCATTTTATCGCAAATACAGAAAACTTTACTTTTATTTAATTATTCAAATATCTGCTGTACTAATATAATTAGACTAAACATGAGTTATGTTTAGAAATTATAACAGTAGTAATAAATCGGGTTATTATTTGAACTAAGATAGGTCGGTAAATATATGAAATATAACCAGTACACAAAGAAAATATAACATATTAATATGTGTAGTTTGTTGAAAAGGATTGTGTTATAGTTTTTGTGAAGATCGTCACGGAAATCCAAGGTCACGGTCACATAAAATAAATAGTTATTGTTTTAAATGTAAGTTAATTGATGAATACTATCACATAAATAAGTACCTACAACGTATCATGTAAAACCTTTGTATGTACCAGTGTTAATCCAATAATAAAATGCGTTTTGCTGTACCTAAAGTATGTCATAGTGTTATACTAGGTGTACCATGAGCACTATGTTCCTACACAATAGTTTTTTTTTTTTTTATAAATAATTTTCGCGTAATTTATGAAAATATAAAATCATATCAATGGTTTTTAACAATTTCCTCAAATCCCAATGGTGATCGGCTTATAATTTTGATTCACAAGTGCTACAACTCACCGAAACGATTTCCAAAAGTACTTCATAAATTATCCGTATTATCCTTAGTTACTATAATTAGCACATGTTAATATTTGTCACATGTGGTATGTACACAGGAGTCGTTCGAATCATATGTTACACGGTTCAATTTAATATAATCCCTCATGCACTGGTGTATATGATATTTTTTTCAGCATTTCACTAGAATGATGTGAACTTGTGTAGTACGTATCCGTATGGTACACACCTATATGGCACTATGGCAGCTGCGACTTACAAACAATAATACGCGCGAGAAAAAAATATGCTTAAAATATATGTACGTCACATTGGATATACGTATATGGACGTACATTATAACGTGTATACCGCGGAGTGGTATACGAGCTGTTGTAAAGAATAACTTAAAAAAAAAAAAAAACATTCAGACGAAATTCGAGACTCTTCGAATGGGGGACATTGTGTTATCTATATGGAGTAGCTTGGTACGTACGTAAATCGTCATGACCATGCTGCGCCCGAATTGCATATTCCCTTCAAAACAAAAATACGATAATTATTCTAATATTTATGGTACGTGTTCGCATTATTTACTATATTATCTTTTCCTTAAAATCGGAAACAACGTTGTCGGACAGTTTTTTTTTTCGTTGTTTTCATGCAATGCACCGTAGTTCAAGAGGTTCGAAATTCGGTCATTAATATTTCTATGAATAATGTATACGGTGCAGTGTATATAGAAAATATTATTGTATATTTATAATATATAATACGTACCCGAAATATTTAAATTGGTTGTAATTATAGCTGGTTAGACCTACCTATGGAAAAATAACACGGACAAAAATAACAAAAGGGTTTTTTTTTTTACAAATTAAAAGCAGTTAAATCATCGAAAATACTACCTACTGTGTGTTACAGGTCGAATATTATAATTCTACACCAATTATCCACATTATATTATAATACCTAATTATTATACACACACTGCATTTTGCTCGGACGTCATATTGTGATGGTTTGTGCGTTGTTTTTCTATTTACGCTTATTATGATGTTATGACTGCGATTAAAGTGAATATTTTTAGTACAGTAATTATATCGGCCATGTTTAACATTTAAAATAAAATAATAGTTGTGTTAATATCATAGTAGAGGTATAATATATTACGTTCAGTGTACAGAAATTATAAAATTCGTAAATGTTATAATGTTTTCCGCTTTTCATGGTTATCATTGAATGTCAAACATAAGATAGATCATATGTATACATTTACTTGCACATGATAATTGCAGTTAAATTAAGTGATAAAATATTAGATAATATTAGAATATTTAGATCAAACATTGATTCATTAAAAAAAAAATCGAAAAATTGTATTTAACGTTGCATATAGTACAGCTAGTTTTAGGGTTTAGCAGTAATTTGTATACGTTTGTTTAGTAAACTATGCAATTTGATGTTACTGTACTGTAGTTCTAAATATTGAGCACAAAAAACTGCACACCTATATAGACTAACTAAATATAAATATGTTTGTTTTGCTACAACCTTTTAGTAGAATATTTTAAAAGCGATTTACTATAGAATTAATTTATTGTTTGTTTTGTTATCTGTCTTTGGTGACTACTCATATTTTTACAACCATACGCACGCATAGTCTTACTATTCTCAATTTATGTAAAGTACCACAATCACACTACTCGTATATTGTTTAGTATGTGCAGTTGCGTTATCGTTGAATATGAATACGTTTATGTTGGCATTATGACAAAATAATATCAATTTTGAGTGCATTACGACAGTACAAATAATTGTAAATTTGTGGCTTTCTGTGCGATATACTAAAACATCCGATTACATTTATGATTTCAGACAATACTTAATAAATATTTAAAATTTCATTTGTTAACAGTTATAGTTTATCGAGCATAAACGTTTTGTTTACTATCGAATAAAACCCAACGGATAATTATTTATCGATTCGTTTTACCACGTTGTGTACAACAATGTCAGAATATACAAATTATGTTTACTAGAACAATTGTTCACTGCGGCTCGGTATCTATAATATATACTTTGGGATACTTTACACGCGGTCACGTTTCAATTCGATCCTGTAAGTACGATCGGCAATGAAAACGTATAAGTTAATCGTTTTAAAGTGCGCCTATAAATAAAACGCGAAAACAACAGACGACATGGGTTGTTTACGAGCACCACGCAATCTATTCAGCGGTGTACACGTTATTTCGCGCAGTGCAGTGCTAGTTAATGCGATCCGTTTACCGTGTACGCGAAAAAATCGGACTGTACGTCGTGTAAAAACCGTTTACGCAAATCAAATGCACCCAGTGGTCGACTAGGATTGCGATCGTCAAGCGAAGCGCACGGGGGTTCGCAGTGCGTTCACTGCGTGCATCGGATTACTGTAAGGCAGCTATGAGAACGTGGTGTCATAACCGTCGCAAGCGGCGTGGTGACGGGCAACGAAATCGCGCTAGCCCTAGGAAAACATACGGTAGGGGCGGGAACCCTCGGGCCGTAGGGACCGATCCTAAGACCGGGTACCGAAACGAATACTTGTCCGCGCGGTGGGTACGTCGTCAAGCGACGACCACCGCGAACGGCGTTGATGAACGTACGTCGGTCAACGTTACGGGAGCGCAGATATACGGTTCGGGGAGACCGCGTTCGTAAAGCGCCGCGCGCGTCCACACCGTCGGCCGAACGCGAATCTAGCCAACGCGGAACACTGCTGTTCAAACCAAAACAAGGATTCGGTCAACATTCGGTTGTTGTCCGTTGGACATCACGTCCGAGTACAAATATTCGATTCCATTTTCGTCGCCGAATCCGCTTTCGGCCGATAGCTAAGGCGGATAAAGTGTGTTTGGGCGGGGTGGGGGAGGTTGTGCAGGTGATCGCGCGTTGAGATGCCGTCATCGCGCCGACGGAAACGCGCGTTCGTGCCGCGCGCGCACCGGACTTACCACAGGAGACTCGCGACCATTCGAAGTGCCATCTGCGGAACGGTTTACGGGAAACGATTTCCCGTCGAACTGGCGGCACGCGCGTTGTCGGCCGGACGCGTCGCGCGAACGTACGGCGCGAGTTTCGCGGTGAACGTGACGGACTTCCGCGGACGGGCGGGACACTGCGGGCGCGCGCGTAGGTGCACCGCGTCGCGTACGCGGCCGCCGCGGAGATCCGACCGGACGCGCGGCAACAATGGGCAACAATAATATCTGCCGCCGCGTAAAAGACCCGTGCCGGACGGCGACGGGCCGCGGTCGTACGGCCTTT